TGCTGGAGGAGCAGCGTGCCAAGGGCCCCGTGGGTTCATTTTTACCCCAGGGCTGTAGTAGGTTTTCACTTGCAAAGTAGCTTTGGCCCCGGAGCAGCCCGAAGGCGCAGTGGCAGGGGCTCAGGGCTGTGTGTCTAGTTCAGAGCCTTTGGGGAAAGCTACTCCAGGGCTAAATTAGAGGAATGGTTAGAATTACTGACTGCCTTTGGCTGCTGCTCTCTCCCCTCCAGAAAAATTAGCCCGCCACACACACATTTTGGACCCGGGGTTTGCTCCCCAGTGAGGGGGAAAGTCTGGCTGTAGTTTGTGGGGTAATGTGCCTGCAGGGTTAGGCTCTGGATGCCTCATGCAACCGTGCAAAGCTCCAGTCAGAGCTGGCATTGCTGGATTGTCCCCGTGGGCTGGGTGCTGGCTTTGGGCCACCCCCTCAGCTGCGTTATTGGCCGCAGGGGGGCTACGGCTAGTTTGTAGCAGGTGAGGCTCCTGCTTGGTGCATCTGCAAAACCTCCCCTCAGAGGGCCACGCCACGGAAGTCTGTGGTGCCACAGGCTGTGCATGTCCCTGCCCCCACCCAAGGCCCCTGTCCAACGAACTCACTCGGGTGCGTAGAGGGGCCAATCCTGCGTGAACGAGACCTTGCCCTGCAACCACCCTATAGGGATTTCTAGCTAACTGATATGGGGTGTGAGGGGGAGGGGTACGTCTGAGCTGTGAGGTAGCGCCCTTGTCTCGCCGGGCAGGTCAGAGCTCAGCATTAGGCGGCTGGTTCCCTCAGGCGGGCAGCCCTCTGGTTTAATCCTTTGGCTGCTGCCCGCCTCCCTGAGGGTGGCCAGGTTGTCCCAGGAGAGCTGGGGAATCCATCAGGGCTCAGTGCACCCCGTTGCGCCGCCTTTTTAGGTCTTTTGCACCGCAGAGGTGGCAGCCCACAGTCCGCTGCGGACGCCGCCGGTTCCCAGTGCGGGCCGTGACTAACTCCTGCGGTGTCTGTGACCATTGCTCCTGGCAGGTGTCTCCGGTGAAACGAGGGGAGAAATACAGGCCCTGAGGAGCCGGGTGGAGGCGCTGGAGCAGGTGAGACGCACGTGCCCCCGGAGACGCAGGCGAGCGCGCTGCCGCCTTTTGTCGGTGTCTCTTTCAATCAACCCCGGCCCGTTTGACTCCAGCGCCTCGCCGCACAGCTGGTCACATCCAGCCGTCTTGCCTTCCCCCGGCTCGATGAGGTGGCGAAATTAAAAATAGCATCTGGCCTCCTGGGATCAGCGTTCCCAGCTGTGTGGCCTGCTGAATGCAGCGCAGACGGGAACAAGAGCCTGGTTAACGTCTACCCCTACCATTCCGCTCTGCCAGCCCTGGAGATGGCTGAGCCTGGCCAGCTGCCCTGGGCTATAGGGGCAGGTCCCGGTGGGTGGTCTGATAGTTTCCATCTCTGTTATACTAACTGGCTCCTTTCGCTCTAAAGAAACTCCAGCTGGTGTTGGCTCCATTCCATAACTTCGTGCCATCGGCAGCAGATGACGCCAGCACGGACCCCATCCGCCTGCTGATTCACTCCCTGCGGCAGCTGGATAGAATTGACTCCCTGAGCGATCAGATCGCCTTCCTGGAGGAGCGGCTGGAGACATGTAAGGGGCAAGGCTAGTTGGGCCCTGTGCAGCAAGGGGAAGCCCGCTGGCTTGGGTTATTGCTAGAGCTTTTACCGGCGAGTTCGCTTCACCCCCTGCGCCTTTTCCTATGGCAACGGCGCTGCCACAGGTGCCTGGTTGGTAAGGCACCCTGCTCCTGAATTCTAATCCCAGTTCTACCACTCGGTTACATTTCACTTCCTCTACTATTAAAAGAAAGGGGTTGGATCAGCAATCACCAATCCGCTGGCTTGGGTTATTGCTAGAGCTTTTACCGGCGAGTTCGCTTCACCCCCTGCGCCTTTTCCTATGGCAACGGCGCTGCCACAGGTGCCTGGTTGGTAAGGCACCCTGCTCCTGAATTCTAATCCCAGTTCTACCACTCGGTTACATTTCACTTCCTCTACTATTAAAAGAAAGGGGTTGGATCAGCAATCACCAATATTTTCCGTAAGCTGGGCGCGTATGCAGGAGAGATTCCACTGCCACCGAGCTGATTACCAAAGTGCCCACAGCAAGGCTACGTCTACACCGGCATGAATTTCCGAAAATGCTTTTAACGGAAAAAGTTTTCCGTTGAAAAGCACGTCTAGATTGGCAGGATGCTTTTCCGCAAAAGCACTTTTTGCGGAAAAGCGTCCATGGCCAATCTAGACCCGCTTTTCCGCAAAAAAGCCCCGATCGCCATTTTTGTGATCGGGGCTTTTTTGTGGAAAACTGGACTATGCTGCCTACGCTGGCCCTAAAGGCAAAAGTCTTTTGGAAAAAGACTTTTGCCCGAACGGGAGCAGCATAGTTTTTCCGGAAAAGCACTGATGATTTTACATGAGATCGTCAGTGCTTTTCCGGAAATTTAAGTGGCCAGTGTAGACAGCTGGCAAGTTTTTCCGGAAAAGCTGCTGATTTTCCGGAAAAACTTGCCAGTCTAGACACAGCCCGAGGTTTTTGTTTCTACTGGTGGTGCACATTCACACATGCCTTGGGGCATGTACAATTTATTCCGCACCTGTCTGGAAAAGATCAGAAGGAACACTGGCACTTTGTGGATTTCACTCTAGTTCATTGTCTATACAAGCTCGCTTCAAAAAGCCACCTCCCTACCTCGAAGAGCGAAGGGGGGGAAGGACAGAGACAAAGTGCTCTCGCCCATTCTCAGATGTAGCCATTCAAATTAAATGGGCAGATAGCAGTGTAAGGTACAAATGCCAAATTGCTTCCCTTTTGTAAAGCTCATCTTTTGTAGACACACCACTCACATGCAGACCAATTGGCTCAGAGCAGAAGTAGATTTATTGTGGCCTAGACATAACGAACAACAAAACCAGCAGCTTGTAATTAATAAAAGATGCATCATTTCATTTCAAAGCTGTTTGTGCGGGTGTTGAATTTGAAACCTTCGTGAAGCATCCAAAGATAATAAATGGAGATGACATTTTTTTGGGCTGCATAAAGGGTACATATTATTATCTCTGCTGCTTTTCTTGCCACTGCCAGGGTCCATGAACTGCCTCAACTTCAGTGAAACTCAATACTAACAGTCCAGCTAATTACCAAACTTAGATGCTAGGGTTTGTGGCTATATCATCAGAATTGGGTGAGTACAGAACTAAACAGAGTAAAGGGAACATTGGAGCAACTAAACCATTTTTTTTCTGCAGCGCAGCTAATCAATGCTGTTTAGAAAAGGCAAAATTGCACGACAACTTTGAACAAAGCATTTGATGAAAACCTTAGCGTCTGAAAAAGTGTAGCTGCTGGAGAAAGACTCTGGCGTGGAGCTTAATTTCCCACCATGATGTTCATGTCTGCTGTAGTTATCCAGCTAATATGTGCATCCTGGAAATTGACACAGCTTGGTGAAATTAACAGCAAGCATTAGGTTGATGTTTATTTCAGCACAGCCTGGTAGAGGTTTGTGTTTTCACACAACTGCATTAATTTCAGTGTACAGAGCCCTCCGTGGAGCACTGCTATGAGTGCTAACACAGTGTTTTATTTCCCATTTCAATTTTTAAGTGCTTTGTTTTAATGTGCAATTTGCCAGCCTTTTACAACTTTTGCATTTGAAAGCCTTGTTTTCCATTAACCGCTTTAGATCAACCTTGCTGGGTTTGTCCACTCAGGACTGATGTGCAGCAAGACTACAATTCAATTCCCAATAAGTTACCCGGTCTCGAAATGGCATAGAAAGTCCCACAACATACCTCGTTCCAATACAGGTTGCCTTGTTCTTACCCACATAAGCAAAGTCAGTTTTCAGATGGTTCCTATTACAAAGGGGCAAGGCTTTGGCTTAAAAAGAAAAACTTAAATGATGGGGGAAAATGTTACAGGAGTTGCTCTGTCATAACATTACTTGAAATCAACTCACTCAGCTCCACATTCCAGTGTTATGCTCGTGATAAGGATGCGTACATAGGAGACCATTAGCTGGAATAGTTCCATGCCGCCTTCTAAGGTCACTTAATGTTCATACCTGCAACTGATTTTTGCCCTTTTAAAATAAGCATGTTGGAAAATGGGAACTAAGACTCGTCACATGCGGAGCCTCATTTGCATAATTAATGAGCAGCCGCTTTTTGTGCAAGAGGCAAAACCCCCCCTCTTGCGCAAGTGCCGTTCTTCCTGAAAAAAATGAAAAAGCCTCTTGCGCAAAAAGTGGCTGCTCATTAATTATGCAAATGAGGCTCCGCAATATTCTACGCTTAGCCTCATTTGCATATTTCTTGCACAAAACCAGCGCAGTGTAGACATAGCCTAAAGTACACAGCACCAATGGTGCCAAACCTGACACTGCAGTGGGTTTAGTCACAAGGAGGATGGAAAGGAATTCCAGGTACCTTCCTAAGCTCTTGAAAAAGGGGTGTGTAAAGGCTCAACTTGCAAGCAGTTTTGCTTTCACTCTGTGCCACGTATGGGGTATTTGGCTGTGTGGGTGCCAAGCAATTAGTGCTGGAGGCTTACCTAGCTCCGAAGGGCCTGACGCTAAACAGAGAACTGAGCTAAGAGTAATCTTTTAGTTACCTTTTTTTGTACTGTGTGCTGCAAATCTGCACCTCCCTCACCAGGAGTAGGCTAGAAGCATTAAATGGTGAAATGCTTTATGAATAAAAAACACGTTTTAACTAACATTAAGGGCCTCATGATTTAGAGAATTTTAGCCTAGAACACTAAAACCGGAAGGGACCTCCAGAAGTCCCGTCCCCTGCCCTCACAGCAGGACCAAGCAGCATCTGATAATCCCTGACAGGTGTTTATCTAAACTGGTCTTAAAAATCTCCAGTGATGGAGAGTCTACAGCCTCCTTAAGCTACTTATTCCAGTGCTTAACCACCCCACCAGTTAGGTTTGTTTGGTGTGCTGCATTTGCGTGCAAGTGATTTTACACCCACTTGTCTCATAACATCAAATGCTAAATTACTCAGTGTGTAAGGGTTCCACTCATTCACACCTAGCAGTGTCTCTGAAGTTTGTAGGGTTGCCAGATACTTTCAAATAAAAATACTGAACATGGTGGGAAAAAAATTGGTCCCCTGGTTCCCCCCTGGCTCAGCCGCTTTTCCGGAAAAACTTGCCAGCTGTCTACACTGGCCGCTTGAATTTCTGCAAAAGCACTGACTTCCTACTGTAAGAAATCAGTGCTTCTTGCGGAAATGCTATGCTGCTCCTGTTCAGGCAAAAATCCCTTTTGCGCAAAAGGGCCGGTGTAGACAGCTGAGATTTGTTTTGCGCAAAAAAGCCCTGATTGCGAAAATGGCGATCGGGGCTTTTTTGCGCAAAAGCGCATCTAGATTGGCCACGAACGCTTTTCCGCAAAAAGTGCTTTTGTGGAAAAGCATCCTGCCAATCTAGACGCTCTTTTCTGAAAATGCTTTTAACGGAAAACTTTTCTGTTAAAAGCATTTCCGGAAAATCATGCCAGTCTAGATGTAGCCTAGAAGTTTGTAAAAGGGTAATTTAAGTCCCAAACACCCCCACTGTGACTGGGTCTGGTCTACATGTTGCTTTTGTACTAGTTGGGCTGATCTTGGGATCACTCCCATTTGAAAAATAAAGTCCATCTGCATGGAGACTGACCCCCAACTAACACTGGCTTTGGAATGGTCTGGTTTCAGGTTCATGTAAGAACGAACGTTAATGAGAAGAGGTGCAGCACTTCCCGGTGGGACCAGAGAGCGTCGATAACCGTGCATGTCCTGTCTCAGCACTGCTGGATTCAGCCTGAAGGAAGATACCACAAGGCCTTGAGGACAGCCTGGGATGGAGGCGCATAGTTTATCTTGATCTGAAGAGGCCCAGTGTGTTTTTCAAAAAACTGAGCCTCTCCCAGAAGGCTTTTAAAGCAGCTTTATGTTTTGCCCTCACAGCCAAGTTGTACGAGATGCTCAGGGTTGTAACACTTTCTTCCCAGCATCGGTCCAGCTGGCCCCACCCCAGAGACTTACTAAAAGCAAAACCATGTGGTGTTTAATTGTTGGCCTGGTCTTTCACCTAACTCAGTCAGAAACAAATTAACTGTGTGGTACAGCCGTACGAGATGAGCTGTAGGTGCAGCAGCTTGTTTAGTGTAGAAGTCTGAGATCTTAAGGGGGAAGAGCCTATAACATCAGGACTCTCCTGGAGGGAGTTTTGCCTAACCCAGCTTTGCTTCACTGTTAGATCAGGGGATGGAGAGATAGTTTAGGAGCAGAATTCAGCCCTCCTTTCCCACCTGTTCCTTTTGATAAGGGCCCGAAACCCAAACAGATTCCAACTCAAGTCTGGTCTCTAGAATTCTCCTCTTGACAGAGCTAGCGCATGTTCTCCTGTTGAACAGTGAGAGCACATAAGGGGAGGGAGAATCCTTTTGCTTCTTAAACATTAGCTTCATTCACACAATGAAACCTGGCACACTGCCTTGTGATGAGAACTAGCCACGCCGACTAGTTAACCAGGAGGGGCAATATCACTTTAGTGAAAGTAGGAATGGAGTCACCTGGGTGTGAGCTAAAGCTGCAGGGCTCCCACCTCAGTTGCACGGTTCTCTCCAAGCTAGAAGGATCCCAGCTGGCTCTACAGAACTAACAGCTTCACTCAGGGGTGGGCAATAATTTCTGATGGGACACACCCCAACATTTTGGGACCTGGTCAAGGGCTGCACTTTATGGCACAGCTTTGGGATCTGGGGTGAGAGGCTGGGTGCAGACGGGAGCTCAGGGTAGGGGACTGGGGCAAAGGAGGAGGTTGGGACCTAGGGCAGGGGAATGGGGTGCAGGGTCCAGGAGGGGGTATGGAGGCAGGAGAAGGATGCTGGCTAGGAGAGGGGTGCAGGAAGAAGTGGTGAGGGTGGGAGGCATTTCCAAACATCTCCCAGTTAGCAGCACTCTCAGGCAGCCAGCCCTCTCTTCCCTCCTTCTCTCTCCTCCCCCCCCAGCAGTCTCAGACAGGTGCCTGGCTGTGCTGGAAGGAGGGGAGGAAGGCAGAGGGTTCAGCATACTGCCCCTACTCCCAGCAAAATTTCTCATTGACCAGGTTTCCAGCCAATAGGAACTAAGGGTGCCGTGCAAAAAGCCACAGGGAGCAGCCAGCTGCTTTCATTGGCCCTGCTCCCTGCCACAGGGGCCGGCCAGAGCCCACCCCGTAAGACTTAGGCCTGCTGGCTCCAGCTGTTCGCAAGTAGGAAAGTCATGCACCTTCTATCAGCCAAGCACTCTGTAGGGTGGTGCTGTTTCTGCATTAAAGTTACGTGCTGTGCGGCTCGGCTGGTTATCAGTGTTAACACAGGCAGGGCCGGGCTGAACCGAGCCAATACACTGAGCCATGGAGGAAGCCCCATGCAGTCCCATGGGGTAGGGATGTTATTCTACCCTCTGTCAGCACTTCTCAGGGGAGCCTCCCCTTCCCTGCCTCAGGCACAGCTGAAGTTGATGGAGAGCCTAGCAGCTGTGGGTTACTGCAGCTTGATTGAAATGCAAAGCCAAACCCCGCAGTAGGAAGAAGCAGGTGAAGATGGCGTAGGCAGGAGTAGGGGAGAGACAGGCACAAGTGAAATAAAGCCATGGTAGGCCTGAAGGGGCAGTGTGGCTTAGCAGGAAGCTGGAGGGGGGGGGTGTATACAGCTGTCTGGGAAACATAACCACCCCTCCCCACATCTCCAGCAGCATGGAAACCCCAGAGCCGAAGGACAGCACGCTGCCAGCTACCGTCTACACCAGCCTGCTGCTCTGGGGAAACAGTAGTAGAGGGGAAGGGCTGGTAAAGGAAGCTATACAAGGTCAGCAGATCTTTTCTGTTTGTCGCTCCTGGTGCTAAATAGGGAGCACAGGGTTCCTTAGGGCTCAGGAGAAGGAAGCCCCTGCTGTCCTCAGGGCTCCAGCCATGCTTGGATCAGAAAGCATTGTAGGCCAAGCAGTACTCAGCCTGCCAGCATGTGAGTGTACAGCCTCCTCAGAGCCCCCCCCAACTCCATGGAGCGCCCTGGACCCTAGTTACAACTCAGATGTGAATAGATTGTGTCCATGGAGGACTCCACACACTACACAGATGATCCCTTGCTGCAGATGTTTGTAACACGTTTTACTTCCCTAGCATGAGTCATTCAGTCCTGTGTCTCAACAGGGGCATGTCACTTGGGTAGCCTCACACAAACGGTCAAGTGCTTCACTGGGGAAGACTAACGATTTTGTGGGAAATCGCTGATCAGAGCAGAATCTTCTGCAGTGATCCTCACAGTCATGCACTCTAGTACTCACACACCTGTCTCCAGCTAGTAAGTGTCAAATAGCCATCCCTATAAGAGAAGGGAAGGGACAGAACACAGCTTTGGTACACATGGCTCTTCCCCCATTACCTCACCCTGCTTGCAGGGGCAAAAATGTAACTAGGGGCAGATTCGTAAATACCGAAGGCTAATTGGACAGTATTGGGCACACTCCCCCTTCAAAGTAAGCACCTCCTGAGAGCATGTCTACACTAGGAAATTTCAAAAGAACTAAAATTTGAAAACTCAAAATAAAATTGAAATTTCTCCCCACTACACAGGAGCCTTAAAAGTAGTCCAAGGCAGGCCCTGTTATTGCAGATGCACTACCTCCACTTAGAGCCCCAGGAAGCACTGGGGAGTAATTATCATAAATTAGCGTATATAACCCACACAAGTATTACACAGGTGCAAGTAGTACCCATGGTTTTTCCTGATTGAGTAAAAAACATCTTACATACCCAGCGCATGTGTATAGGCCGCAGGAGGTGAACCGCAGGTACTGTTAAAGATAATGAAGGTAATTAACTCTGGCCTCAGGGTCTGAGCTTTTTGCTCAGAAGCATTTGAGCTCCCAAATGCTCAACTGCCAAAGCACAGAGTAGACGGCCACAGCCTGACAGGGCAGACAGGCTGGCTCCCCCGGGGTGAGCCGTCTGCCCCACACTGCATGGGAAGGGAAGGTGACTGGGCTTACCCCTCACACCTTCTCCAACCTTCCCCAGCTGCCTTCTGCCTGCGCTGTGCACTCCCCTGGGGTGAGCTGTCTGCCCCAGGCAGCCAAAGCTGAGCAAAGGAGCTGTGTCCTTAAAGCCGTGTCCTTAAAGCCACGTCACGGAAAGCCAGCCACATTCAGACAGATGCAACAGAGGGAAGAAAGGTCGCTGGGTATTTCTACAGCAGGGGAATCTCCTCTCCCTCCCCACAGTTGATTACCTCTTCCCTGAATTCTCATCCGCCTCTGCTCTGCCTGCTTGGTCCCTTCCCGTGACTGCTGCAACACACATACACACACACACACACTAGCCTGTGTGTGTGTGTGGGGGGGGGGGTTGCAAAACTTTGCGTAACCTGCGGGTTCTGCCCCAGAGTACCATGTTTTAACATATAGTTATTTCAAAACGGGCCCGTCCACACTAACACTGTTTCAAAATTAGCATATTCCTTGTTTACACACCACACCAGAGTGCAGATTTTGAAATGACCAGCCCATTATTTTGAAACTGGCTTGGTAGTGTGGACACTCGGTCTGAAAGAACTCCCTGGCGTAGACTGGGGCTCAGGTAATAAAATCAACTCAACCTGGTTTAAAAAAAAACAAAAACAAAACCACCTCACACAAGGCTTTTTATTTAAATAACTGCTTTATAAAAGTGTACATCTGATCAACTATACATGGTTTTAAAAAACTGAATGGACAACGGCCTTTGTGTACACTCATCCCCTTTTCCCACCGTGTTCATAGCAGAATTACACTTGATACATCTGATACAGAGTCATCTTTGGCTGAAGAAAGATTATCCACCCCGTGCAGTCACCTTCCCAGCCCAGCTGCTCACCCTAGACAGGACTCTCTGGGCAGGACTCAGGCAAACGCCACAAGAACTTGGCCTTAATTATACAGCCATTTTTTTCCTTCCCTAAGAAGGGAAGACAAAGCACCATTCTGAACAGCCATCAGACCAGCAAGGAAAAGCAGAAGGGTGGCTTGCTTTCAGAACTGAGGTCTGGACTGTACAAGACAGATACTCAACTATTCATTGGTCATCCCAGCACTACCCCCGGCCAAGTGGCGCTGCCTACCCCCAACACCCTCTATCTGGGTCCTCCCTGTTCTGCATTAGTGCTTTATGCATTAGACGTGGGTGTTCTTTTATGGAAACACAGGCCATTCAGCAATTGAGACAGGAACGTCTCCACTGCCACTCGCTGAGGAGGGGGCTGGGGGAAGACGCCCTGCACATTACAAGAAGAGACATTCTGCCTTTGGAGCTTGAAGGAGCATTCCCACAAGGCCTCTACGCAAGTCTGTGGGAGTTCCGATGGCCAACACGTGCTCCCCCAGGGAACAAACCTCAACTGGAGTAACAGCAGAGATAGGGGTGCTACAGTTCTACGGCTAGGTGAGGAGAGTCTAGAACTCCGTTACCAGGAGCCCTTCACATCCATCTGTCAGCGATTCAGTGGGAATCCCTCTAGGTGCTGTTTCTCAGCTGGCCAATTCAAACGGATGGAAACCTTGATTCAGGGTCACCACCCCCACGTAGCCCATTTTACATCTCCAACACCACGGCCTTCACAATGGATACGCGCTGTCCTAGTAAGGCTAACGTTCCAGGACAGATTTGCATGGCAGGTATGGTCTTTTGGTCAATGCTTCAGAAGTGCAGCGTTTCAAACAGCCCAATAAAACCCTTAGGAAGCAAGAGCGAGTCTAGGTATAAAGCCCAGATTAAAGTATTTTAACCAGCATGTGGGAGCACTGAAAATGTTGCAACAAATACCAAGGATATGCCTCATCTACCTGGTCCTCAGCCTGCCATACCTGGCACCAGGCTAAAAGCCGGCCATCGGGTGAAGCACAAGTCAGGGGTACAGGCAGTAATGCAAAACTGGGAATGAAAAGAGATGGGTCCCCATCTTTGTGGGTGTCTCATCCTTGTAATTTAGCGCCGCTCTTGGCATAAGTGTATTTCCCCCCCCCCTCCCCCACACACACAAAAAAAAGATTTGGTTTTGAGATAACGTCCCCACAAAGTGCATTGCGGCAGCCATCATGTTAAGTGTCTTGATTGGTTTTACCCTAATGCCGTATCAGGTTTCCCCACCACCCATCCCTAAATGACCCCACATGGAGCTTGTCCACTCAGTGGACATGGAAACTTGACTTCATGAAGGGGCAGTGTCTAAAACAACAAGCCCCAGAAAGCCCACCTGAACCTGAAGGCAGTGAGCGTAGAAACCTGCCCATAGCAAGCCTTAGGCTGCAGAGTGCTAAAAGTACCGGGGAAGGGGGGAAGGTAGGAGGGGGGAGTTCACTCTGGAGAGCAGGTAGGGCCTGGTATCTGTGCAACCTGCCTCAGAACTCTGGTCAGAACACCCTGGGCTGTGTCGTGTGACTTGGCCATTACATCAGAAGAGCATCGGAGAGGAGTGAGCGGCTGGTCTTTGAGCCACATCCCAGATGCTGCATGCGCAAAGACACGCCCACGCACCGAAACAAGCGGATCTGGCAGGAGCCCATTGTGTCGGGAGGCGAGAGGCTGGGAAGAAAGACGCTTCTGTGAACACGGAGTGCAGGGCAGCTCTGGGAAGCGGAATTTCAGCCTTGAGCCAGACTTACTGGCAGGGACTACTGCCTTAGGCATTCAATCAAGGCTCTCCAGCGCCCGGCTGGAGTGACTGCCCCATCGCTCCAGCTGGCCCATGTCTGAGACCCCTGCATTAAGTGTTGAGAATGTACTAACAGAGCATCACCTGGACACCTGCTCCGACCCTCACTGCTTCAGGCAGCAGCTAGGGACAAGGTGAGTGTGGGTTTCAGTTACCTGGAGGCTGAGATGTAGTACTCAATAGGGTCTTTGGCATCCAGTGGTTTGGCACAGGCTTACTGGGGTCGAGGCTAGGACCTTAACACGGTCTTCTGCAACCCCAACCAGCCCAGCAGCTCCCACAAGAGCTGAGAGATCACTGCACTGGGCGTCTAGACAGGCACCCTTCACTAACACCGACCCACAAACGATTCACTCAACAGTAGAACTGGGCCAACAAAGGGCGTTTGTCAACTAAGGGCTCCCTAAGCAGCAAGTTCAGCTTCACCCGAGCCGGCTGCAAAGGAAGGGGAGAAGTCCCTTGGATATTTTGGCAACGGGAACCGATCCTCTCAGTCCTTGCTCTTTGGGGAGACTATTGTTGAGAGGTGGGGGCTGAGCCGTCAAACGATTCACTCAACAGTAGAACTGGGCCAACAAAGGGCGTTTGTCAACTAAGGGCTCCCTAAGCAGCAAGTTCAGCTTCACCCGAGCCGGCTGCAAAGGAAGGGGAGAAGTCCCTTGGATATTTTGGCAACGGGAACCGATCCTCTCAGTCCTTGCTCTTTGGGGAGACTATTGTTGAGAGGTGGGGGCTGAGCCGTTCACCTCCCTGGCTGTGCCGGACAGTCTGAAAAAGGTCTCTCTCATGGTGCAGTAGCATCTCTCCGTGAGGTCAGCGACGTCCTCGGCTGTCAGGCCCTTGGTCTCAATTGGCTGGAGCACCTCAACCCGGATTTTACCTAAGAACAGGAGATGCAATGTCACTCTGCATTTTCATGGGGCCTCGAGAAGTCTTCTAGTCCAGAGCCCTGCCCTCGCAGCAGGGCTAAGTCTTAGCCAGACCATCCCCAACAGGCGTGTCTAACCTGTTCGTGCGATCTCCCGTGGAGAGTCCACATTAGATGGCCATTCTCCACCAATCCTACGGCTTCAATACCAGTCAGAAACCCCTCCTCCGACACCTGTGCACCTGAGCTTAGCAGAGCGGGTTAGAGCTGACAGCCCAGTCTAAGCAAACTATCCCGTAAGCTGTGGCAGCTATTCCCGAGGATAGATCTTTTCCCGCTATGACACAAGGCTGCGTATAAGCAGCTCCTGGCAGCAGGCATCAAGACCCACTCCTGTGACTTCCTACTTCAGGAAATGCCTGCAAACCGCAACACAGGGCAGACAATGGAATATCCTTTTCCCGCTCCCACGAGGCTAGTGGCAGAGTCTGTATGAGTCTCTAATTAGAGGCCCTGGCATTTTTAGAAAGCAGGGTAATATTGTCATAGCTGTTACTAATCAAGCCTTATCTACAGAGGATTGGGATAGCACAACCCCCTCGCATAGCCAAGCAAGTAGAGATTAGCATCCCATGAAGCAGATTTCCTTGGGCATGTGTCACGTCAAGTCGTCAACGCTATGCAACATACAAGTACATGAAACTCAGGGCTGTGTATTTTTACACTCAATGCCCAAGCCTGCATCTTCGGCCTCCCCCTTAGGAATGAACTGAGCCAACTGGAACAAGATCTCACTCTTGGAATCTGTCGGTCCTTGGAAGGTATTAGGTAGGATCATGGGATGAGCTTACACACAGCAAGAGCACCGTCCGAAACAAGAGCCTTCCATGTGATCGGCAAAGCTCTGTTTCTAGGCATACGCTCCTTGCGCTACGCACCCTTTCGCCTACCTGATCTGCCCAGGCCAGTCACTAAAGCCACAATCAAGCCCAGGTACTTCACTGGAGGCCAAGCCACTTGGCTCTCAGAGAAGTCAGCACTCCTTGGAACTGCATGTTTACCTCAAACTCATTACTCCTTTTGGGGGGAGGGGGGGAAGAAGAAGAAGAGACACATGACTAAGGAGTGCCTGGGCTCTGAAGCAAAGTACCAGCCACCCTCCACATGGCTGCCTGGAGGTGCAGTTCTCTGGGGTGGCTTTTGCTGTGCAGAGCAAGATTTTTTTTGGGGGGGAGGGAGGGAGGAGGCGCAGAATTAACAGATCCTGCTGTTACATCAGGTCGTATACCCGGCGGCTTTTCTGCAGAACGGCTGTGGCACGCAACGGCAGAGAGGGCCCCAAGAGGGCAGCCATGCACCCACTCCAGGAAAGTCACAATCACCACTTCAGAGTCCAGGGTGCCCTTGCATGCCCAGCAGGAAGCTGCTTTGCTCATCTGTTCCTCTTGGGCCCATCAGCATCCACTGCCAGCGAGCGCGTCCTGGACCACATCTCAGCCCATTCGCTAGTGCAGCAGGGTGTTTACATCTCTCCACCAGTGGAGAGACCCCTGAAGAGTGGCTCTGGGCTGGGAACACCACCCTAGCCTAGCTCTTACCCAGCACTTTCCAGCCAAGACCTCAAAGTGCTTTAACAAATGAAGGTCAAAATCACCCCAATCATACAGATGGGGAAACTGAGGCAGAGAGCAGGACAGTGACTTGCTTGAAATCACCCCAGCAGGCTAGTGGCAGTACCAGGCGCACAGAACCGAGATCTCCCAAGCCCCGTGTTCAACACACTGTCACAATGCCTGCCATAAGAACAGCCACTCCTGGGCTCTGCCCGTGGCCTAGTGGGTGAGCTCAGGCAAGTCACTTTTCTGCTCTGTGCCTCAGTTTCCCCATATGTAAAATGGAGATGATTTTGACCTACTCTTTTTTTTAATAAAAACACTTTGGGAGCTGAAAGGCTACACGTGTCCAAAAATTGCTAGAGTTAGATCTCTGGTCTCCATCCGAAGACCTCAAAGTGTTGTTAAAAAAAAAAAAAGAGTAGGTCAAAATCATCTCCATTTTACATATGGGGAAACTGAGGCACAGAGCAGAAAAGTGACTTGCCTGAGCTCACCCACTAGGCCACGGGCAGAGCCACGGAGTGGCTGTTCTTATGGCAGGCATTGTGACAGTGTGTTGAACACGGGGCTTGGGAGATCTCGGTTCTGTGCGCCTGGTACTGCCACTAGCCTGCTGGGGTGATTTCAAGCAAGTCACTGTCCTGCTCTCTGCCTCAGTTTCCCCATCTGTATGATTGGGGTGATTTTGACCTTCATTTGTTAAAGCACTTTGAGGTCTTGGCTGGAAAGTGCTAGGTAAGAGCTAGGCTAGGGTGGTGGTGGTGTTCCCAGCCCAGAGCCACTCTTCAGGGGTCTCCCCACTTGTGGGGGCACAAGGAGAGATGTAAACACCCTGCTGCACTAGCGAATGGGCTGAGATGTGGTCCAGGATGCGCTCGCTGGCAGTGGATGCTGATGGGCCCAAGAGGAACAGATGAGCAAAGCAGCTTCCTGCTGGGCATGACCCAGTACTGTCACTGTCCTGTTTTGTCGTCCTCCGCAGCTGCTCCCTCTGCAGGTGCAGGCTAGGTCCCTGGTTGGCTCTTTTTGGCTGACGTGCGCTCTCCAGGGTATCCGCATGCACCTGGCCCTGTAAGACAGAGCGCCTGACGGGCTCCGGCCTCACCTTGCAGGAGTGTTTACCAAGGCAGGAGTTTCTTTATCTGCTCAGTCAGGAGCTTTTGCCATCAAAGGAGCGACTCCGCGCTCTCCCTGAAGGGCTTCCGGAGTGGGTTTGGCAGCACCTGCCAGCTGTACCCAGCCTCTGACAGTCAAGGGCACCCTGGACTCTGAAGTGGTGATTGTGACTTTCCTGGAGTGGGTGCATGGCTGCCCT